TTTTATTTTGATGAAAAAGAACACTTAATTAGGTACATATTGGAAAAAAACTCCGTAAATACTACTTCAGAATTGTGTTATGTAATAGCAAGGATAAATTGTTTTGCTTAGTGTCTCTTCAGGAAATGGAATAAGCTTACATAAGCCGCTATCTAGCTTTTCGAGGGTTATATTACTTGAAAAAAGAGGCACTACTTATTTAGTTTGTAATTTTGGACCTTGGTTGTAATAGGCATACAACAGCAAACACAGTGAGAGCTGATGCAACAGTAACAGCTTACCAGGTATTGTGTTATGTACTCTTTGATTTCCCGTCGGATGTTGCTATTGGTTTAGTAATGATTACTGGACAAATTATCCTCTGCAGACTGATACATTAGATGAAGAGCTTAAGAAGCTGGTTGGGATGGGCTTTGAAAGGGTACTTGCTCCGCACAACCTGCTTGCAGTTTGTATCATGCTAATGCATGTCTTATAATTCCATTGGTATGTAAGAGACCCATACTAGAATTGAAGCAAGTGGGTAAAACAAACTGGATTACTTAGATGATTTAAGAAAATATATGTTGACGGTCATGCTTGATGTTACTAGTATCGGAGGACAAGCCAACTCAACTCAATCTAAAGCAATATTTATGTTGGAGGCCTGAACTGTTTTAGGTACAGTCAGGGGTTTGCAAGAATCTCACGGATGGTTTTTTCGTTGTTGCAGGCTCAGGCTCAAGTTGCTCTTGCCACCGCTGACGGAGACCCAAATGTTGCCATTGAGATTCTCTTGAGTAAGCAGGTTCCTACAGATATTGTCTTTAAATTGATTGTCAGAGTTCTGTGACTCCTTCTGACGTTACTTTCGCTTTCCAGAATTAGGGATTAGCCACACAATTCTATTCAAAGTGAGTGCAGTTATCGAGCAGCATATTGCCCTCTTGCTTATCTGAAAGTTAGGTTCGGAATGGATAGTGGAGTTTGAGAACGGAGCATAGAGTGATAGAGGAGATCTTCATAACAGAGTGGTTTCAGAAAATGGTGCCATTGATTATGCAATTTGTATAGGTGCAGAAGCTACTACCTGCTTAGTGCCTACATTTCTCCAATCTTATGTACTACAGTAACACGGAAGTGTCAAGGGCTCCGGGCATCACTTAACTGATTTTTCATCACCGCGCATACACCTCCTCAAAAGATCTTGACGAACCTAACAACCTGCCCTAAGTGGGCACTTTCCTCTCCAGAGTATGTCAACTATAACAAATCTGATATGATTTTCAATGAAACAAGCAACTTGCGGCTGTAGGACATGTCAAACGGAAACAGGTAACACCAACGGCGACATGTTACGAATTCCGGTGCTCCATCCCTTTCTCCCAGCACCAAAAAAACCGGTACATTTCTGGCTATTTCGACCCTTTATGTCACCGCCTATCCGACTAACCAATACACATTTTCGTTTGTCTTTCTCCAATCCCCCACTTAGTCTGAACGCCCACACTAAATGCACAAAGAATTGTAACATGGAACTTGGAAACGGAGCAGGTTGCGGCCAACACGATAATTTGCTATCTGAGAGCCACAACCATGAGTGTATATATATGTTGCGAGGATCAAAGAAAGTGTGACTGAGGATTTAATGAAGGCATGACATCCGTTTGATTCCACAAATGCGTTCATTTGGCACTTTTTTTTGTGATGATCACACATTCCAGCTTCTTTTAACTTTTTGGCCCTGGTTTCTGAATTAGTGTGACATTTCTGGTAGTACATGCGTTTTTCTCCAATCCCTCATTTGAGTTTGGACGCCTTGTCAAATAAATATAATTTAAATTTAAATTTTAGGCTTGGGGTTGTGCAACTTGAATGAGATTAAAAAAAGTGCATGTTCTGCGCAACACGATAGTTTTCCATCTGAACAACAACCATCGAACTTTCACATGTATATACTTGAAAAAAGCATGACTGATGGTTTGAAGAAGGCATGACACCCCTTTGTTCCGCACTGCGTTCACTTAGTGCCATTTTTTTATGGTCCCACTGTCCAGCTTTCTATCATCCGATTTGTGTGCACTAGAGGTAGAATGACCAATCCTAGTTGTTGCACTCCAACAGTCCAGGAACATGATCTGGCTAATGCAAAATTTAGAGATAACACTCTGAATAACCCAGAATATTTTACAGGATTAAAAGGCTAAAACCCGCAGAAAACACAAACAGAAAGCAAGACAAGCCCTGATGTTAAGCCTAATCCAAAACACTTACAAGATTAACAAATTAAAGACAAATTATTAGGCATAGCATCACATATTCCCTATTGCTGTTTGAGACGCATAGCCCGAGAAGCCCCCCACATTCCAGAAACATAAAAGCATATTAAGAAAATGACATGTATTTGGTCCGAATGCACAAGGGCATGTAAGGAGGGATCTTCTATTGCAGGCACCCCAAATCCGCCTCTCAAATTGTCGAGTCGTGCTGTTCTAGCCGAGAGGATGGCTGAACTTAACTCAGGCTTGCTGATTGCTCGCTCAATGCTTTGCAAGTTCAGTTGTTTCACCATGCCTCATTGTACAATGGAATAGAACGTTAACAATGTCATACTTCTGATTTACAGACCACATGTGCACTTTGATGTATAGATCATATAACTCGGAAGGGCCTTTATTATGGCATCTCTGCATTGATGGAAACAGAAAAAGATACTCAGCCTTTGCTTCAAAGCTTGACAACAGGTCAATCGAAGACATGGAGCCTTGTTACCTGTTTGCAAATGGTTCCGCCTTATCTTCTCTCAAAGAACTACCAGCTGCGGTATCTGTGAGTCTGTGACCGAGATAGTCAAACATGAAAACAATTAACAGAAGGTGGCAGACAGCCAGAATAAAAGACATGGGCAACATAATTGCTTAGTGGAATTTCTAGGAACTCTGATAACTTTTAAAAAAATTGTATGTTTGTACAACAAATGCAACCCGAGTGAGCAAGATTATAGTACTGAGATTATTTTGAGGAATGTTGCTGTACCATATGACATGACCAATGTCTGGTATTTTATTCACATGAATCAGCACAAGCATTCGAGCAACATATCTGTTGCCTATCTGAAGGTTAGGTTCAGTCTGGATGGATAGTGCACTTTGAGAACGGAGCACAGAGGAGATCTTGGTGACAGCATGGTTTTCCGGAAAAGGTGCCATTGATTATGCTGGAACATGGAAGTGTCAAGGGCTCCAGTTCCAAGCATTAGCTGACTAATATCATCACCGCGTATACACCTCCTCAAAAGAAGTTGACGAACCCAAGAATCTGCGCTAGTGGGCATTTTTCTTCCGGAGGAACAAGCAAAACCTCTGCATCTTGTGCACTGGTAGAATAAATTTCTATGTACAAACCATGACGGTGCCAACACTCCAAATTTACACCGCTTTCGCCTATGGGTGACTTTGTCGAGCAGCAGTGCCGTAGCCAGGTTCCTCGTACGCCCCCGGGCCAGGAGTGTATATACAGTAGCAATTGCGGTACTACAACTAGCGTCAACGAAGAAACCACACCCCACGCCTCAGGGCATGACCCTGGCAGCCCTGGGCCTGGCTACGCCCCTGTTGAGCAGGCCGGTGAGGTCGCATTGTCAAAGATAGCTGCCTTCCTGATCCACCATGGATCATGATCAGTGGAGCAGTGGTACCCTTGCAAGGCGATAGGATGGATCGGAAGTCAAGTGTCACCAACCTAGTAGATTCACGTCGTTCGTCCATTCATAATTTGTTTTTCTCCAATCCCTCACACGAGCCTGAACGCCCACACAATAAATGCACAAACGAATTGTAACATGGAACCTGAAAACAGAGCAGGTTGTGGCCAATATGCTAATTTTCCATCTAACAGCAACATCCATGAGTGTATATATATAAGCGGCAAGGATTGGGGAAAGCGTGACTGAGAATTTGAAGAAGGGATGGCATCCGTTTGATTCCAAAACTGCATTCATTTGGCACTATTTTTGTGATGATCACACTATCCAGCTTAACTTTTTGGCCCTGGCTACTGAATTAGTGTGACATTTCTGGCACTATTTTTGTGATGATCACACTTTCCAGCTTCTTTAACTTTTTGGCCCTGGCTTCTGAATTAGTGTGACATTTCTGGTCACACTTGCGTATCTCTATCATTTGTGTTTGGACGCCTCAACAATAAATGCACCAAAGATAAATAACTTAAATTTAAATTTTAGGCTTGGGGTTGCGCAACTTGACTGGAAATTTTAAAAAGAAAACACTGCATGTTCTGGCCAACACAATAGCTTTCTATCTGAGAACAGCCATCAAACTTCTTTGTCAAAAAAAGTGTGACTGATGTTTGAAGAAGGCATGACATCCCAATGACTCCACACTGCGTTCATTTGGTACCATTTTTTTATTGTCGCACTATCCAGCTTATTATCATCCGATTTGCGTAGACTAGAGAGAGAATGACCAACCCTAGTTATTGCACTCCAACAGTACGGGAACATGATCTGGCCAATGCAAGATTGAACTATAGAATTCCGCCTAACCCAGAATATTTTACAGGATTAAAAAGCTAAAACCTGCAGAAAACTCAAACAGAAATCACGATAAGTCCTGAGGTTCACCCTAACCCAGAAAACTTACAAGATTAACAAATTGAAGACAAATTACCGGGTGATAGCATCACATGAATCCTATCGCCGTTTGGGAGGCATAGCGCTAGAAGCCCCCACATTCCAGAAACATAAATAAAAGCATATTAAGAAAATGACATGTATTTGGTCCGAACGCATGATGGCACGCAAGGATGGATCTTCTGTTGCAGGCACTGCAGATCCACCGCTCATATTGTTGAGTTGTACTGTTCTAGCCGAGGATGTCAAAATTAACTCAGGCTTGCTGATTGCTCGCTCGATGCTTTGAGCGCAGTTGATTCACCATGCCTCATTGTATAATGAAATAGAATGTTAACAATATCATAACTTTGATTTACAGACCCACATGTCATTCTTTGGTCAGCGCATTTGGCACTTTGATGTATGGATCATCATAACTCGGAAGGGCCTCTATTATGGCATCTCTGCATTGACAGAAACAGAAAAGATACTCAGCCTTTGCTGCAAAGCTTGATAACAGGTCAATCGAAGACATGGAGCCTTGTTACCTGTTAGCAAATGGTTCCGCCTTATCTTCTCTTAAAGAACTACCAGCTGCAGTATCTGTGACCAAGATAGTCAAACATGAAAACAGGAAACAGAAGGTGGCAGACAGACAGAATAAAAGACATGGGCAACATAATTGCTTAGTGGAATTTCTAGGAACTCTGATAGCTTAAAAAAAGCTGTAGGTTTGTACAACAAATGCAAACCAAGGGAGCAAGATTATAGTATATTTTAAGCAACATAAATGTGTGTAGATGAAGGAACTTATTTTGTAGAAAAACAATATTTCAGTGAGCATGTGCAACAATTGATCCACCAATGCCTATGTGTGCCATGCAGCCGGGATACAGTGTGGCTCCTTTCATCCACTACAATTTTGCACAGGACGCCGCGCAACAGCATCTCGGCTGCCTGAGGACAGCATGTTGGTGGATCAATTATTGCGTGTGTTCAAAAGGTTCCGTTTGCGCCACATACCATGGATCAATTATTGCATGACGAAAGATATACAATGTTAGAAACAGTGAATTAAATTAGTCAAAGAAGAAAGCAAAGATATATTTTCTCTCACAACTCAGATGGCTCACTGTCTTGTTCTGCTACATATTAAAATTCAAAATTAGTTGTTACAAACATAAATAATTCACGAGATTCTTTTTGTTCTTCTCTAATCCTTCGATTTCAGGTCTGTTCCCTATATTATACATTAATTTAAGAGAACTTAAAAAGTCGCCGTGCAGTCAGAAAATCTGGGTACAGAGAGAAAAAAGGGTATAAAGTATGGACTGTGACTATTGTCAAATGTGGTACTACCGAACACATACATGTCAAGATTCAAGAGCACATGCATACTGTTATAATGAACTTGTCTAATAAAAAATGGACATAATATTATGAACTGCACAATGGCATAAAACAGAGAGGCAATCCTGAAGCAAATGCGTAATTTTGTTAGTTAAACACAGCAAGGCATGATACTTTGTCATAGCTATTGAGATTATTTTGAGGGATCTTGCTATACCATATGGCATGATCAACGTACATCATAAGCATTCGAAATTGTCTTTGGACTAAGGCTGGTCATAGTGGGAGTAACTTAGCTAGTAACATAACACACCCCAATGCAAATTTGCTTATGTAGCAAGAATTAATGAGAGAGGTGCTTCCAAAGGATAAATTTGCTTATGTAGCAAGAACTAATGAGGAGAGAGGTGCTTCCAAAGGACAAATTTGCTTAGTAAGATAATATGTTAGTGTAACATAGCGCTTCCAAAGGATAAATGAGTCTACAAGATAATAAATGCAATCATCTATGATACTACTTCTATGTTACTTTGCACTATGAAGGTAGTAACATAGACTAGTGTCATATGCATGACACTAGTCAATTTACTCCCCACTGTGACTAGCCTAAGGGGCACTAGCACACTAGTAAGTGATAAGCAACCATGCTACATGGAAATGTGAAGAGTTACATGGATGAGTACCAGCTCTAAGTGAAGGCTCAATGGATTCAAGATCAACCGACTGAAGTTGCCCAAACCTGCAAGGAAAAGAGAAAATAATAATTTCTAACTGCTTCTGATGGCATAAATTCAGTCTCCCGAATCAAGCACGGTTTCTCACAGCCCACCTAAACAACCACCACCACAAAGAGCATAATTTACTGGGCTTAAGTCAACCGTGAGCGCTTGTGGTAATCACTTCTGATGGGTTTACAGGAACCGTCAATTTGCCATGAAGAACCACAGGATGTTCCTTCTAACCACCGTTCGAGTCTAATCTACATACAGACTCCAACAATTCCAACTACCAGGTAGCAAACGCTAAGGTTTGCATTGTGCAGAGTGATAAAAACAGGTAAGGGGTCGTAAATTACCAGTCAACCACCTGCTGAATCTTGGGCGCGAACTCCTCGGCCTAGCAGTCGAACAGGCAGCAAATCATCAGCCTTATACGCAGCGCACGGGAAGTTTCGAGAGGGTTCCCATCGAGAGAGAAAGAGTGGCGTGCTGACCTCTTGCGGCGAGAGAGATATGCGGGCAGAGTTGGCGAGGCGGGGAAGGTCCGGCGGCTCCAGGGGCCCCGGCCCCGCGGTGGGCGCTACGTTCGGGAAGGAGGAGAGCGGGCGCCGCCGCAGCAGAGACCACCGGTTGCTCGGCGAAGCGTGCCCCGGCGGCGCGGCGGCCCAGCGGAGCCTGGGAATGGCCGAGGCGGCGGCGGAGAGCATGGCCGTCGTTGCTGCCGGCGATGCTAAAAGAGAGGAGGGGTTTGGATTTGGACCAGAGGCGATCCGAGCGGATTATCCACTGCTGACGCTCTCCACTCTCCATGTGCACCGTCCGATCTCTACTCTACGGCTGTGATGAGGGCTGCGACATTTGATGGAGCTCTGGCTGGGCTTTATGGATCCACCTCGCCTGGTGGCTGGGCCGCGCCTCCGATTTGCTGTGCTGCGAGCCTCGTCACGGTTCACGTGGCTAAAAAAAAACGTGTCAGATTTTACATATATAACATTTAGATTAACTAGCAAATATGCCCGTGCGTTGCAACGGGAGAAAAAAAATGCATGCCTTATAAACACAACGACATCAACAAATCCCTTAAAATCTTTCATTATGCCACACAACAAGCAACATGATAAGTGGTGTTGTGCAAAAACATAAAGGTGTGATGATTTTTGAAGTGTACTCAAGGTGTTTAGAATTCATTATACAACACAAATATCTACCTAGTTGCCAGTATATGTTTACGCATTTGTTGTTGTTTCTCGGTGATGCCCAAAAAAATATTGCATTAGAATGAAAATAGCAAAATACATTTTAGTATTTAATGATAACATGTGCATAAGAGCATTATTTTTGTCATATACTCCCCCCATCCAAAAAAGCATGTCCCAAACTTGTCCCTCAAATGGATGTATCTAGCACCAAGTTAGATTTAATGATGATAGCATATTTGAAATCTACGTATTTTGTGTGTGTTTGCAATCATAATTCAGTTACTTAATTTGGTTGCAAATATATTGGATAGCTCTACCAAAAACAACCAATCTATAAAGGACATATGCAATAGGCATTTCTAAAATATCTCATCATATAAAGAAGGTATTGTTTAAGTTTGCACCCTGTACATAATTTTAAAAATTAATGATGATAGCATATTTGGAATCTATGTAGTTTGTGTGTGTTTAGCATCATAATTCAGTTACTTAATCTGGTTGCAAACATATTGGATAGCTCCACCAAAAATAACCAATCTATAAGGACATATGCAATAGGCATTTCTAAAATATCTCATCATATAAAGAAGGTATTATTTAAGTTTGCACCCTGAACATAATTTTAAAAATTAATGATAATAGCATATTTGGAATCTACACATTTTTCTGATGAACTTTCATATATGACATGTCACATTGAGTAAGGGTTTTAAAGATATGCCACACAACAAGCAACATGATAAGTGGTGTTGTGCAAAAACATAAAGGTGTGATGATTTTTGAAGTGTACTCAAGGTGTTTAGAATTCATTATACAACACAAATATCTACCTAGTTGCCAGTATATGTTTACGCATTTGTTGTTGTTTCTCGGTGATGCCCAAAAAAATATTGCATTAGAATGAAAATAGCAAAGTACATTTTAGTATTTAATGATAACATGTGCATAAGAGCATTATTTTTGTCATATACTCCCCCCATCCAAAAAAGCATGTCCCAAACTTGTCCCTCAAATGGATGTATCTAGCACCAAGTTAGATTTAATGATGATAGCATTTTTGAAATCTACGTATTTTGTGTGTGTTTGCAATCATAATTCAGTTACTTAATTTGGTTGCAAATATATTGGATAGCTCTACCAAAAACAACCAATCTATAAAGGACATATGCAATAGGCATTTCTAAAATATCTCATCATATAAAGAAGGTATTGTTTAAGTTTGCACCCTGTACATAATTTTAAAAATTAATGATGATAGCATATTTGGAATCTATGTAGTTTGTGTGTGTTTAGCATCATAATTCAGTTACTTAATCTGGTTGCAAACATATTGGATAGCTCCACCAAAAATAACCAATCTATAAGGACATATGCAATAGGCATTTCTAAAATATCTCATCATATAAAGAAGGTATTATTTAAGTTTGCACCCTGAACATAATTTTAAAAATTAATGATAATAGCATATTTGGAATCTACACATTTTTCTGATGAACTTTCATATATGACATGTCACATTGAGTAAGGGTTTTAAAGATATGAAAATTTCAAAAATATTTGATCTTTGAAAGAAAAAAGGAGGGTGTGGGAATCGAACCCACAACCTGCAGCTAGCTAGGCCAAGGAACCAACCAGTGCGATGGTCCTATGGTTGTTGTCCTTGAGGGGATCTACGCTTTTTAAGTGATGGGCTAGCGCGGACAAAAAAAAGAAAAAGGCCAAACGTTTTTCTCACTTAATGGTGGCATTGGTGGGTAATTTTTTGCAACTTTAGGGGCAGTTTTAATGACGGATGGGCAGAAGCGATAGCCGCTTTATTAGTAGGTAAATATTAATAATACTCAGGTTTTTAAATTATAAGATATTCTAGCTTTTTGAATCAGATGTATATAGATGCGTTTTATGTTGGAAATATGAGCAATTTACCGTATAATTTTACTAACGAAAATACTAGATAAAGCATGACTAATATAGCAGAGATAAAGTAAGTCATGCAATCTGACAGAGAGAAGGTAAATAGCATCTTCACATATGAACTGTAGGCAAACATATCTAGAGCAAGCAACATATATGAAGTAGAGCCTAACATATGTAGGGAAAACACTAGAACAAGGAACAGTGGCAGGACCTCTAACAGAAAGAGTAAGAACACATACGAGACAGCAGCAGTAGCGGTAGCACTGGACTTGGGGTCGGTGTCCTCGCCAGCCATGTCATCGAGGAGGTTGTCGACGTCGGGGAAGAAGTCATCATCGGGGCAGTAGTCGTCGGAGTCCGTGACGAAGGAGTCAGTAGTCGCGCAGAGCGCTCCCCAAAAACCTTATCACCTTTCTCCCGTACAGGACTCAAAAGGTGCAGTTTCGGAGACCTACTGTCCCGACTTGCGATGCACGCCGCAAGACGAGATGGGGAAGAACGTAGCAGCAGCGCAGTGCTCAGGAACTTGGTGGCGAGAGGGAGATCGTCTTTCTGATGTGTCTCTCTGGAGAGGAGCGACCTCTCTTATATAGGCACAGGAGAGAGAGGCAAACAGGCTGCGACGGGAGGTGAAGCAACAAAGGGAGACGAAGCGAACAGGCAGCAGGCGAAGAGGTGCGCCGTTCGTATTCAATCTCCACTACAGCAAAAACGTTTCAGCTCCAGTGTAACCGTTCGTATACCCATCGTGCGTGGCAAAATTTTAGACATCGGCTCGGCTCATTCCCGCGGTGCGGCGCGGCGCGTCGTGGCGTGGTGTGGCGGGCGGAGGAGGAGGAGCGCGCGCGGATGTCCCTCTTGTTCTCATGCTCATACATGTGGGGAAAGAACCTCCCTTATAAAGAGGTCCAACTCCCTCTAAACTAGCAATGTGGGACTAAACTTTAGTTGCACCTCTTGCCTTGCACAAATGGGCTGCGTGGGCCTCTAGGATTTATTAGAAATTTCTGAAACTGCTATTGGGCTGACCCAAAATAGACAAAATTCCAGCAATCCCCCACCAGATCCCAGAGGCACACAAAATTTACCTTTGGTTCCAAAACACTGTTTTATATACCGGTACTGCAGTGAAGACTATTAAGTTGAACTTCCACCTAGAATTCTATGCTACACTAGTAAGCAACTTGAACAGTGGACTGGGCCTTGAACTGCAAGTTTTCTGTGAATCTAGCTTCACACAAAGCCTTGACCGATACGTGGCTACCGCAGGTCTTCCCCGCGGGTGGAGCTTATGCGTCATACTCCGAGACCTTTCATGAGTTTACTAGAGAGAACCCTACTCTGATAGATTGCAACGTTTAACAATCAGACTCATATAGGTGTGTTCTTCAAAAGATGTTCTGCATGATAACATATTTGCTTCAAAGAGCCTCTTAGAACACATTAAGATATGCATCAACCTGCCATGCAAATTTAGGAGAGTATTGCATCTTCATGGAGTGGTATTTTTAATAGTAAGGATACTCTCCTCCCAGTTGACCAACAGCTTGTCTTCCACATCTAATTCACGGGATCTCCGATCACAAAGAATAGGTTACCATTGATAACAACTCATATTGTGGGTCTCATACCCATCTCCCTCGATGCATTATCTATCATATTACGTGATAGACCCTTAGTAAAAGGATCTGCCAGATTTTTAGATGTTTGGATATAATCCAATGCAATAACTCCGGAGTTTCTCATTTTCCTGACAGACTTTAACCTTCTCTAAACGTGTCTTGATGACTTCATGTTATCCTTTGAGCTGCTCACTTTCGTGATCACAGTTTGATTGTCGCAGTTCATAAGGATATCCGGTACATGTTTCTCAACAACCGACAAGTCATTCAAGAGCTGACGAAGCCAATCCGCTTCGACCGTAGTTGTATCTAGTGTTGTGAGTTTTGCTTCCATTGTTGACCTCGTTAAGATGGTCTGCTTACAAGACTTCCAAGAAACAGCGTCACCTCCATGAGTGAATACATATCCGCTCGTGGCCTTTATCTCATCAGCATCTGAGATCCAGTTTGAGTCACTATACCATTCAAGCACCTTTGGGTGCCCAGTGTAGTGAATTCCATAATTCGCAGTGCCTTTCAAATAACGCAAAACTCTCTCTAGAGCTTTCCAATGCACATCTCCTGGTTTTGAGACAAACCAGCTCAGTTTGCTAACAGCAAAAGAGATGTCAGGTCTTGTAGCACTGGTTAAATACATAAGCGAGCCAATAATCTGAGAATATTTCAATTGGTCTCTGGCAATTCTTTGATTCTTTCGAAGCAACACACTAGCATCATATGGTGTTGGAGAGGGCTTATAGTCACTGTAGCCAAAGCGACTCAAGATCTTTTCCACATAGTGGGATTGCAGCAATGTAATCCCACCATCATCGTCTCTCAACAACTTGATGTTCAGAATGACATCAGCCACTCATAAATCCTTCATCTCAAAGCAATGAGATAGGAAATCCTTGACCTCCTTAATAACCTTCATATTTGTTCTGAAAATCAGTATGTCAACAACATACAAGCAAATGATAACTCCCTCGC